TTTGGCAATTCCTAAATATGTTAAACATAGAATTACTACACAGCTCAGCAGTTTCTTTTCCAAATGTATTCCCCAAAGAATTGAAAATAGGCATGCAAACAAATAGGTACTCAAACCAAGAATTTCCAGATGTATGCTGGCTTTAATTAGTACAGCCACTATGGAAAACAGTGTGGAGATTTCTCAAAAAGCTGGAAATAGAACTGCCATATGACCCAGCAATCTCACTTCTGGGCATACACACTGAGGAAACCAGATCTGAAAGAGACACGTGCACCCCAATGTTCATCGCAGCACTGTTTATAATAGCCAGGACATGGAAGCAACCTAGATGCCCATCAGCAGACGAATGGATGAGGAAGCTGTGGTACATATACACCATGGAATATTACTCAGCCATTAAAAAGAATTCACTTGAATCAGTTCTAATGAGATGGATGAAACTGGAGCCCATTATACAGAGCGAAGTAAGCCAGAAAGATAAAGACCATTACAGTATACTAACACATATATATGGAATTTAGAAAGATGGTAACGATAACCCTATATGCAAAACAGAAAGAGAGACTCAGATGTATAGAACAGTCTTGTGGACTCTGTGGGAGAAGGCGAGGGTGGGATGTTTCAAGAGAACAGCATTGAAACATGTATATTATCTAGGGTGAAACAGATCACCAGCCCAGGTTGGATGCATGAGACAAGTGCTCGGGCCTGGTGCACTGGGAAGACCCAGAGGGATCGGGTGGAGAGGGAGGTGGGAGGGGGGGCCGGGATGGGGAATACATGTAAATCCATGGCTAATTCATTTCAATGTATGACAAAAACCACTGCAATGATGTAAAGTAATTAGCCTCCAACTAATAAAAATAAATGTAAAAAATAAATAAATAAATAAAATAAAAAAGAAAGAAAAAAATTAAAAAAAAAATTAAAAAAAATTTTAAAAAAATTTAGAAAACTAAGAAAAAAAATAAATAAATAAAAGCAGTCAGATCATTTTTCTAAGGTGCTTCTGAAAGAATATAGATATCCTGTTTCCGCGGACACAGAGAGTTAATCCTAAATACACATCTGTGTTACAAAGGGCAGTCATTAACTTGATGATTTCCCTTAAAATGCTTAACAAGGGTATTTGATCTAAAGTGAACCTGTTAACAACAGAGCCTTGATGTAAATTTTATTCTAATAGAACAGGGAAGAATGTTCATGTTAGTGGTCTACTCTGAGCAGCCATCATGGTCAAGTTATAGAACAGAATATAAAGGAATTATATTTGGTGAGAGCAACTTCCATCCTACCTTTTCTTCAAAAGGGTAGCTTCAACAAACTTCACAACTTTAAGTGAGAAAGCCTAGAAAGAAGAGTCATAGGTTAATTTCTGTAGATGACATTAATAAAAAACACTACTAGTGGATAGTTGGTGAAAGCTTATGATGAACATGATCTCTGAAGAAGATTTAGCTTCAGGACCAGGGATCAGGCTTAACCACTCAAGAGCTTTTGTGTAGCAGAGTTTTATTGAAGTGACAGAGGGACAGAGAAGGCTTCTGACATAGACATTAGAAAGGTGATGGAGAGGGCCCCACTCACTAGTCTTAGCAAGGGAGCTATATACTTTTTAATTGGTTATTACAATAAATCAAAAGGATGTCTCAAGGTTGTAAAGATCTTACTAGACCTACTCCCATAATATGCATTTTAAGATAACAGGATTAGAACTAACAATAGAAAGATCTTACCAGATGACTCCCTACATTTAAGATGACAGGATTATTCAGAAGATTCTTAAGAAGGAGAAATAACTCCAGAAAGATTGAAGGGAAGGAACCAAAGCAAAAACAACACCCAGTTGTGAATGTGACTGGTGACAGAAGCAAGGTCCGATGCTGTAAAGAGCAATATTGCCTAGGAACCTGGAATGTTAGGTCCATGAATCAAGGCAAATTGGAAGTGGTCAAACAGGAGAGTGAACATTTTCCTGTTTCCTCTATTTCTTTGCATTGATCGCTGAGGAAGGCTTTCTATCTCTCCTTGCTATTCTTTGGAACTCTGCATTCAAATGGGTATATCTTTCCTTTTCTCCTTTGCTTTAGGTTTCTCTTCTTTTCACAGCTATTTGTAAGGCCTCCTCAGACAGCCATTTTGCTTTTTTTGCATTTCTTTTTCTTGGGTATAGTCTTGCTCCCTGTCTCCTGTACAGTGTCACGAACCTCCGTCCATAGTTCATCAGGCACTCTGTCTATCAAATCTAGTCCCTTAAGTCTATTTCTCACTTCCACTATATAATCGTTAGGGACTTGATTTAGGTCATACCTGAATGGTCTAGTGGTTTTCCCCACTTTCTTCAATTTAAGTCTGAATTTGGCAATAAGGAGTTCATGATCTGAGCCACAGTCAGCTCCTGGTCTTGTTTTTGCTGACTGTGTAGAGCTTCTCCATCTTTGGCTGCAAAGAATATAATCAATCTAGGCTTTTAGGTTTTGGCTCTTACCACTCACCATCTCCAAAGAAAGAGCTCCTAACTCATTCTCTCTCTCTCTCTTTTTTTTGATTGAAGTATAGTTGATTTACAATGTTGTGTTAATTACTTCCATACAGCAAATTGATTCAGTTATGCATATTTATATACATTTTAAAAAATATTATTTTCATTCTTGCTATCAATATTCAACACAGAATTTAGACTGAATCTGCTTGAATCACTATGCCTTCCCCTGCACTAGTTGCTTACCAATCCCATTGATAGCCTAGGGCAGGGAAGTAGGATCCTTGACTGACAGCCTCAACAGAGACATTATGTACCTGTAGATCCCAAAAGGAAAGGATGCAGGGCAAACAAAAAAGTAACAGATATCCACTACAGTTAGAAACTCTATCCTGCTTTCCCTGTCCAAAGCCACTAATGGTGATGGAGCAGAAGAAACATGTTTGCATGGCCAAATTGGTCATCATTGGACAGGTTCTCTTTGCATTTACCCCCATTCATTTCATATTTGATGACTGACCCCCAAACAGAAGTTTCCTCCTTAATTCCAAGACAGATGTGAACTAATTCATCTTTTAGTAAATTGACAGGCATCCAGAGAGAGAGAGAGAGAGAGAGAGAGAGAGAGAGAGAGAGAGAGAGAAACTGCTTCCAATGAGGGAAAGAACCCTTGAATATGGGACACAGCCTCATCCTGTGAGCTGTCTTGCTTAAGCTTTCAGCTCTGCTGGTTTTTTGAGGCTACCCAGTTTTCCTTGGCCTGTTAATTGCTATTTTCCTTTTTAATTAGACACATCTTTCCCCTAATTTTCCCCTGACAAAATTTCATTGTAGCATCTGGATATAGAATTCTTTGACTAGGTTACCATTTTAGGAACATTTTGAAGCAAGAATTCCTATTGCCCTATTTACCTCTGTTCCTTATGTATAAATCAGATTGCCTCTGAAGTCTGCCCTTGATAATCCTTCTATCACTTCAAGTGATTTAACTTAAAGGTAATATTAAAATTAAACTGGAAAAAAAATTAAACTGAATAATATGACACATGATCATTTATGACATATTATCAACCTCATTTTATTTGCTGTATTAAGCCTGGATACTGTTTTTGGCTTTTAATAAAGATGACTGAGGAACCATTTGTCCAATGCATTAAAATATTTCCCCTAACAAGATGGTGAGAGGGATTAAATTAGGGGTCTGTGATTAACAGATACACATTTCTATATATAAAATTGATAAATAACAAGGACCTACTGTATAGCACAGGGAACTATATTCAATATCTTATAATAACCTACAATGGAAAAGAATCTGAACAAGAATATGTATGTATATGTGGAACTGAATCAACTTTGCTGTACCCCTGAAATCAACATAACATTGTAAATCAACTATACTTCAAAAAATTTTCTCAAGGAAATAGTTAATAATAAGAATTTATTCCAACTTTTTCATGTTAAAGGCAGATTTGAAAGTTACCGGTACATTTACTAAGTATTTAGTAACTGACTTAGTGTGTTCTGTGGAAAAATACAGTTTCTGACAAAGAAAATTTGGTGGGCTGTGTTTCCCTTTAGGCTCTGTGCTATTAACCAATCTTGTGACTTTGAGGAAATAACTTAACTTCTCTGAGTCTGATCATTTCCATCCTGCCCATGTCATGATGCAGGGACACTTGATCATTCATAGATTGCTGGTGATAATATAAAATGATGTAGTTATTCTGCAAGCAGTTTCTTTAAAAACTAAACATGCGACTTCCATGTAACTCAGCAATTGCACTCCTGGTGTTTATTCCAGGAAAATAAACTTTTGTCCACCTCAAAACTTGTATGTGAATATTCATGCATAACCTTTATTTGTAATAGCCAAAACTAGAAACAGCCTAGATGTCCTTCAGTGGGTGAATAGGATCCTTTATTGACAGTCACAGCGTGGCCATATGTGTATGAGTTAAACAAACTCAGGTGCAGTCACAGTCAGCCCTCCATATCTGTGGGTTCTACATCTACAAATTCAACCAAGAGTAGATCAAAAATATTTGGGGGGAAAATTCCAGAAAGTTCCAAAAGCAAGTTTACCGCACACCTGCAACTATTTACAGAGCACTTACATTGTATTTACAACTATTTGCATAACATTTACATTGTATTAAGCATCAAAAGTTTACTCCTTGGAAGGAAAGTTATGACCAACCTAGACAGCATATTAAAAAACAGAGACATTACTTTGTCAACATAGGTCTGTCTAGTCAAGGCTATGGTTTTTCCAGTGGTCATGTATGGATGTGAGAGTTGGACTATAAAGAAAACTGAGCACTGAAGAATTGATGCTTTTGAACTGTGATGTTGGAGAAGACTCTTGAGAGACCCTTGGACTGCAAGGAGATCCAACCAGTCCATCCTAAAGGAGATCAGTCCTGGGTGTTCATTGGAAGGACTGATGTTGAAGCTGAAACTCCAATACTTTGGCCACCTGATGTGAAGAGCTGACTCATGGGAAAAGACCCTGATGCTGCGACTGCTTTCCGGAAGGCAGACGTCTAAGGCCCGTGAGTTGATTGTAATGGCAGGTGAAGGAATTAATGAAGACTATCCAGTAGAAATTCATGCATATTTATCAGCATTTGAGAATTCCATTGGTGCTGTGGATGAAATGCTGAAGACCATGATGTCTGTTTCTAGAAATGAGTTGTTGCAGAAGTTGGACCCACTTGAACAGGCAAAAGTGGATTTAGTTTCTGCTTACACATTAAATTCAATGTTTTGGGTTTATTTGGCAACTCAGGGAGTCAATCCCAAGGAACATCCAGTAAAGCAGGAATTGGAGAGAATCAGAGTGTACATGAACAGAGTCAAGGAAATAACAGACAAGAAAAACGCTGGCAAGCTGGACAGGGGTGCGGCTTCAAGATTTGTAAAAAATGCCCTCTGGGAACCAAAACCTAAAAATGCATCCAAAGTTGCCAATAAAGGAAAAAGTAAAAATAAACCTTTCAGTTTTGATGTACACATATTTTAAAAGTACATAATTTTTATTGTTTTCCACAAAATGGATGATGATTATGTGGCACTGTAAGGTTTAAATGTATTCCTTATTGAATTCATGTATAAAACTTGCATTTGAAATTCATAATGGTAAAAACTTTTCCCCCCAGAAAGATTGTTATCTTTGTTGGTTTTCCTATAGAACACTATGAGGTTTTTAACATTGTAGTGTGTATATATATATATTAATGTTTTATTTTGTATGGGAGTATAGCTGATTAATAACATGATAGTTTCAGATGGACAGGGAAGGGACTCAGCCCTCCATATACATGAATCGATTCTCCCCCAAACTCCTCTCCCATCCAGGGTGCCACATAACATTGAACGGAGTTCCATTTGCTCTATAGTAGGTCCTTGTTGATTATGCATTTTACATTTATGCATACATTTACAGCAGTGTGTACATGTAATCCCAAGCAACATTGTAGTATATTACATATATATATTTTACTGTCTCTTGACCAGACTCTTATTTGCTTAGGTCAGTCTTTCAAGTGCCATTTTATAAGCAACTATTAAGTTTAAATGTTCCTCGTAAACATTTGTCTATTTCGATGAATAATGATTTTATGACATATGCTGAAGTTATAAATACATCTGTTCTCACTATATGATATTAAGAAAGAGTGAAATGACTTAAATGTCCATTTTTTCTCTGTAGTTATTTCATTATGCTTTCATGATTTTGGGAATTACTGCTTTCTGTGGTATTTGAAGTATGAAATTAAGACTTTAAGGTTATTCTTTAATTCTTGGCACTTTGCCACTATGTCCCATTTAAAGTAAAATACATTCTCATTAACTTTAGATGGGAAATGAGGTTGTATATTGATGGCTGAATTTTGACATAATAGCTATACCCTATCAAAGCTATTAATGTATGGCTGACCTGTTTTTAATTTTTCTGTTTTGAGTAAATGTTTCCTTGAAATTAGGAAGATCGGTTTTAGAAGTCCTTAGAAGTGGAGGAATTCATGAGTTTTTGTTCTTTGTGCATAGTGCCGGTAGTTAACTTGGCTTCAATTTTTTCAGATTTTTAAAAATATTTATGAGGGTATAACAAGTATGTACAAGTATTTTGGAACAACTTTGTATGTTATATAATGCCACTTGATCAGAGGAGAAATCTGAAGGAGAGTACATTGTATTTATATTCTGATTTGTTTTTCTATAATATTTGTTACTGAGAACTCTAAATATTAAAACTTTTTAAATGTCTAAGCCCAAGAATTTTATTATATACCTTTAATGCTTTCAGTCTTTGAATTCACATCATTATGTATAGGAATGCCAAATACAGTAAAGTACTGTACTTTAATTTTTGAAAAAGAAGTTGTTAAAATTTTCTGTGTGATTAATTCCCCATAAGTAACCTTGAATAAATGGATTTCTTGATTTATGATAAAAAAAAAAAGACCCTGATGCTGGGAAAGATTGAGGGCAGGAAGAGAAGGGGATGGCAGAGGATGAGTTGGTTTGGATGGCATCACTGACTCAATGGACATGGGTTTGGGTGGACTCTGGGAGTTGGTGATGGACAGGGAGGCCTGGCGAGCTGCGGTTCATGGGGTTGCAAAGAGTCGGACACGACTGAGCGACTGAACTGAACTGAAGCATCATAAGTCATTAGAGATGATTTAAAGTGTGCAGAGTATGTGTGTAGGCTATATGCAGGCACTCAACCATTTTACGTAAGGGACTTAAGCATGCTTGAATTTGGTGTCTGTGGGAGTCCTAGAACCAATCCCCTGTAGATACTGAGGGACAGTGGTAGATTCTTATCATGATCTACCTCTCAGCAATAAAAAGGAATGAACTGTAAATATATGCAACAATCTGGGGGGTGCTGATTGTGAAGAAGCCAGTCCCCCAAAGTTACAGACTGTTTGTTTCCATCTTCATAACATTCCAGAAATGATAAAATGATGAAAGCAAAAGAGAGTAGTGACTGTCACAAGCCAAGGAGGGGGTAGGAGTGAGAGGGGGACCTGGATGTGGCTGTATAAAAGGGTAACAGGAGGTGTCCTTGTGTTGATAAAATTGTTCTGTACCTTGACTGTATCACTGTTAATACCCTGGATGTTACATTGTATGATAGTTTTTTATAAGATGTTACTATCAGGAAAAATCGAGGTAATTACACACAGGATCTCTCTGTTTTCTTTCTTACAACTGGGTGTTAATTACAGTATCTCAAAATTAAAAGTTTAATTTTCTAAATCTCATTTTAATTGGAGAGAAAGTCTCTGAGTCAGAATTCATGATTTCAGTCCAATGGATTAAAGTAATCCTAGGAAAATTCTGTAGTCTGTTAAGTGTATCATTCTATATTCCTTAAGCTGAATTATTATGTGGATTCTCTCTACCAGTAAGCAGGGTTGATTCAAAGTCTTTTTCAGTTTATGAGTCATTCCGTGATTTTTCTTGCCTAATATCTTGTGTTCAGTATATCCCATACAACAAGTAGTGTTAGTCATGCAGTCGTATCTGACTCTTTGCAATCCAACGGACTGTAGGATCACCAGGCTCCTCTGTCCATGGGGTTCTCCAGACCAGAACACTGGTGTGAATTGCCATGCCCTTCTCCAGAGGATCTCCCCAACCCAGGGGTTGAACCCGGGTCTCCTCCATTGCAAACAAATTCTTTACTGTTTGAGCTACAAGGAAGATCAGTTGCAGCAAATACCAAAGCTCTTTGACGCAACAGGCCTGTCATCTTCCAAAACTTCATGGTTCCTTTTCAGTCCAGAAAGTCCAACTGGAGATGGGCTGTGCACTATGCCTAGGTCTGAAAGGATTCAGAAGGTTCTGCCCTTGCCAGTAACCACTTGGATGAGAGCTGGGCAAGGATTCTTAGGAAAGCCCTGAGGCCATCTAACGATGCTGAACCTTGATTGGCCTAAGAAATTCCTTAATTTTCTGTCATCATATCATTATAAAGTTATTTCATCATGAAAAATTTCTCATTAAAAAGTATACAAGGTTCTGTATTTTGAAAAATCAGTTCTTTTTTCCCTGCAGAAATACAGAAACTTGTCAATACTTCCTTTGACATACCTGGAGAAGTTATAAATTTCTTCTTTTTCTAGAATTCTAAATACTAACTGCAACTATTTCAGTTACTCCATATCATAAGTATATTTTAACTTGCCAAAATGAACCCAGTGGTTTTACAGCCCCCTATTGTGTACTGTTTAAAATTTAACCTTTCTGCCCCTCCACAAAGGGTGGCTTTCCGTGAACACATTTTTATCATATAATTCTCAAAAATTTCGTTCAAAAATCTTAGAAGTTTGCAGAGTTAAGAAAAGTGTCAGTACGGTACAAATACCACAGTCATCCACTGGAATCGGTGTTCGTAGGCTCCAGAATGAGAAGCACATGAATGAAATGTCTCATTATGATACAGTTCTTCTGTATTTCCTAGTTTGGAAAATAAGGCATTTAGAGGTAGTGTATAAGGCATTTGTTGGAAGACTCAAGTGCAGGTTGCTAATCCCAGCCTCCCACTCTACCCTCCCCCCAACCTCCTCCCTCTTGGCGACCACCAGTCTGCTCTCTGGGTCTGTATGTCCCCCTATGCTCATTGTAGATTTACAGTAGCCAAGACATGGACACAAACTAAGTGTCCTTCAGTGGATAAAATGGATAAAGAAGATGTGATGCACGCTCACAGACATACCAATTCAAAAAAGATGAAATCCTGCTATTTGTGACATTACTAGACCTGGAAGGTATTATGCTAAGTGAAGTAAGTCAGAAGGAGAAGACAAATACCATTTAATTTCACTGATATTTTGAATCTAAAAACAAAACAAAAACGAACAGATACAGAGAACAGCTTGGTGGTTGCCAAAGAGGAAAGGGGGTAGGAAGAGGTGAAAAAGGGGTGAAAAGGGTCAAGTGTATGTCGGACAGAAACTAAACTTTTGGTGGTGTACACCTGTCATTATATACATAAATTGAATTGTGTTGTACACACAAAATATTTTAAACCAATGTTGCCACCATTAAAAAATAAAGAATAAAAATATCCATGCACATGCCACTAGTGACCTCCATCATTATTGGCGAGATTAGTGAAATTCAATGATTTCTCATCTTCCCTGGTGGTCCAGGGGTTAAGAATCTACCTGCCAATGCAGGGGACACAGGTTTGATCCCTGGTCCAGGAAGATTCCACAGGCTGAGGGACAGCTAAGCCTGTTTGCAACAGCTACTGAAACCCACTTGCTCTAGAGCCTGTGCTCCACAACAAGAGAAGCCACGGCAATGAGAAGCCTGCACACTGCAACTAGAGGGTAACCTTCACTTGCCACAACTAGAGAAACCCCGTGCAAAAACAACAATGACCCAGCATAGCCAAAATTAATCAACAAAAACCACAGGAAAGAGTAGCTCCCGCTCGCAGTCACGTCTGTACGTTCTTTCGGCTAAATGTTCTTAAACATTTAGTTGCTGTGAATGGGGTTGTCCAGTAAAATATTGAACACCCAGTTAAATTTGAGTTTCAAGTAACCAACAATTTTTGTTTGTTTGTTTGTTTGGGACCAATTATACCACACAATCTCTGGAGGAGGGCATGTCAACCCATTCCAGTATTCTTGCCTGGGGAATCCTCATGGACAGAGAGGCCTGACAGGCAACAGTCCATGGGGTCGCAAAGAGTTGGACATGACTGGGTGACTAAGCACCGCACACATACTACACAGTGACCAACTTCAACTATGTCCTAGAGACTAAAGGAATTTATTGCTTATTTAAAATTCAGATTGAACCGCATTCTGCATTATTTGCTTATCTGGCAATCCTAGTCATGAACCATGATGGAGGCTAGATAAAGGATGCCAATTTCATGATTGGCAAAACACAATGAAGCTCAGAGAGACAACTTTCCCAAAGTCGGTTCATTGAAAAAAATAATAGCAAGAGATGTGACCTGAGCCCAGATTAGATTCATAACTACCCCCT